ATCAATTTCGATTCTTGAAGCAGAGAATCAAAAGGGGTTCGAGAAATTACCGCTGGTGTTGGGTTCGTCGGACTTGTTTTCGTTACGGGAGTCGATCGAAATGGATAGGGCACTCTTTCCGTTTTTTGCTTCGAAAAGAATTTCGAGAAGGCTTGTGATATTCAGTGTTGCAGAGGCAGATTCCAAACAGAGGAACCTGTCGCAACCACCGCCGTTGGCGAGGATACGCAGTGCAGCGACTACGTTGCCACCATCAGATTCCACCGTGAGTGAGATTCCACCGTGAGCGACATTCCTTCCGGTAAAAAACGCAGGGTGCCCATGTCGATTCCACATACTACAAGCTCCGCCACGGCGTTCTCGAACAGGGCGCCTTCACGTATCGCTAGGTTCAGAAACATGGCTGAAGGCTGACGGACGGTGTTCTGCATTCCTGGAAATGAGAGGAAGAGAGTAGCCGGGGAAGCTTTCATATATATGAAATGTGCCACGTTAAAAAATGGCGTTAAGGGTCAAATAAGATCTCGGACTTACTAAATTCATAATTAAGGACTACAATGTGAAATTTTCTCCTCTTTTGGGGCAAAAAGGGTGATTTTTTTTTGTAAAAATTATGCATATGTACTGAACATAATATTTGCATTTGATCTAAAATTAATTGATGGAGATGGAATAGCTCTTTTTATATTTACACTTGATATGAGATTCTCTTACTCAACACGCCATATCATGTGCAAACCCATTATATATATCAGATCTTGTTACATGGCTTAATATGTCTCTTTACATATAAGTTTGGTATCAACTTTGGATCCTGTTAAGTGAGTTAATAACGGGTTTTCCAAGATAGAATCTGAACTTTGATACCATGTAAAAATTGTGCATATGGGTTTAACATAAAATTTGCATTCAACTTAAAACTAATTGATAATAGGTGAAGTTAACTCTCCTTATATTTAGATTCGATTGGGATTCTCCCACTCAACATTTTTTCTTTAAATACTACTTGAATAAAATTTTGATTTTTGTCCCAACAAAGTTTATATATATATAGAGGGAGAGAGATTTCTTTTGTTAGATAAAATTATTATTAAAAATTTTTTTGCAAAAAAATTGTTAACATGATTTAGGCGTAAATTTAAGATTGTAAATTTAACTTTAACTTTAACTTCAACTTCAATCAAGATGAGTTTTATTCAAATTTTTATTTGAAAGATCTAATTTTGTTAAGAATTTGTAACTCTAAAACCCAAGATTTAATTATAATGAACAAATAGAAAATGGGATACTCTTTGGCCATTATTTGTTGGCTTTTATGGCTAGACCACAACAGGGTATCATTTGATGAGAACTTTATGTGCACTTCAACCAAAGAACCTATGCTGAAGCACCATCTAGCAAAGGTGACTGTCTATCTAAAAAAGAAGCAAATTCAAGCCAAACAAGTTCAGCTCGTGGGATGGGAAAGACGTAAACCTTGTGTTCCTCTTTCTCTCAACCTCTATTTACTTAACTATTAGAGTATAGATTTTTATAATGTGAATTTACTGATATAAGTACACATGTGGGTGACCTTAACTTTCAACCAAATGACTTATATTACTGTTTCCTCAAAAATCCTCTAGTGGCCTTGTATGTGCGGAATCTGGATACAGGCGTACCACTTATTTTACTAAAAGTAAGAAAGGAGGAATTTTCCAATGACTCTCTCCTTTCTCACGATCGACCTCCTTGCGGATGGCGGGAAGAACGTTGGATTAAAATTGAAATCTGCATCTACAGACGATTTGCAAGAGGGAGGGATATCTTCCTCTAGAATGTGTTACGAAATCTGCCTTGGACAACTCGAAGGACTTAAATACTACCATGAATTAAAGTTAACAAATCATAATTAAACTAAATAGCATGCAATTTAAAGTAAATTTATGAGAATAAGATGTACTTAAAATAAATTAAACATATTCACTGTTAAGTTAAAATGCTCTCTATTGATAGATTTGGAAATTAAACTACTACAGAATTGGAGATTTTACCCTAATCAAAATTAAAACAAACATGAACAGGAATTAAACTAACATGCTTGAAGTTGAGAAAAAGCGTAGATGCCAAATAAGTAATTATTGAAGAAATGCTACTTATCATAAACATTAAATTAATTGTAGATAGAAAAGGAACAGTATCTTGAAGAAATTTAAAAGATTGGAGTTCATTGCATGAAACGAAATTATTGAAGTGAATACATGAATTAATTTGTCTACTAGAATGATGAAAAACAACCTAGATCTACTAGAAATTGTGTTGAAATCCGAAATCTAAAAGCAATTGCAGAGAAAATGAAAGTATGAAAATTTGCAAGTGTTTGAGTAGGGCTGGTCGTGTGTTGAATGACTAAAATTTTCTCTTTTATTCACTTTTTCTCCAACTGCAACTCCTCACTTTCTGTAGTTACAAAATTGTGGGTGGTTTCTTGAGGTAGTGGGATAATTCAACAGTTGAACTGATAAAATCTCCTTCCATATTTCGTCACTTGTGCCCTTATCTGGTAACTCCCACCTATAACTGCCATCTCTTCCTAAATTTCAATTAAAACAAACCTAATTTAACTTAAAAAAGATAATTAAAAAATAAAAATATTATTTTTTATCTTTTTTTTTTTTTTCTAACGTAACAGCTGATTTGTCACGAGACCTAGAATTGTAAATCTGACATAACTAAATCTCCACTATTCATTTAAAAATTTTTGGCACATGACATCATCTTAATTTTTTGTAATTTAGGGTGTAAATAATTACCATATCAACAACAACAATATCAAAACAAAAATCCCTACACTTATTTCAAGTAGTAAAGAATAAATTTTCAGAGTTGCATCTACATTTTGAGTATATGAATCATCAATCAAGGAGCTAATGTTTTTCACTTTTTTCCTTGCTCAGTTACAGCCTCAGAAGGTTTCTAGAAATTTCTGAGTAAGCACGTTAACCCAAGGGACACGCAAACAAAAACGGCTATGAATGGAGTGGAAATGGAGTCTTCCCAGTTCTCCTAACCCAAGACGGCATCTCAGCGGATTTGGCAACATCTCCCGTATGTGAAAAAACATCTTGTACGCCCCAACTTCCTCTACTGTGAAAATGCGCTTGCACAAGAGAAGAAAATCATATATCCCCATGCATATATCCCAAAATCCTCCTCCCAGTTAACCCTCAACGCCTCCTTCCTGCACATAATTAAATCATGCATCAATTGATATATCTGTATAATCTCCTTAATTTATGACTATATCCCCTACATATTAAAAACTTCATAAAAAACCGCTCACTATGCTATGGCACTGATTTCAATTGGTATGTCGGTCAGATATTATTATGGTTCAGCTTTTACACATTTTATAATGCTAATAAACAATGACATAACAAATATTTTTTAATTTAATGTTAATTTTTACACACTTTAAAATTAATAAAAGCTATGTATTTTAAAAAATTAATTTCTTTAACTCGAAAACTTAAACTTTGATTTTAATTTATAAGATGACATTTACTTATTAATAGATTTAACTCTTAAAGTTCACATAATAAAGATAATTGCATATGAACATGTCCAAAAAATAATACTCAAAATGAAAATACAAATCTCAAGCCTCGGATACACACTAAAAAAAATAAAAATCTCACATAAACAGAAAATTAGTGAAGAGAAAAGAGACAATCAGGATATTTTAATTTTTTAATAATAAAACATCTAATTATAATTATTAAATATGTAAAATGTAATCTGGGTGTTAGTTTATCGAATTCATATTTAAATTATTATTATATGTTTTAATATTAAAAATATTAAGATATTTTATTTTTCTTTTTTTCCATTACTAAATTATCAAAAAGTCAATAACAGAACAGGAATTAACTCGTGGGCCGTGGATAATAATAATTACCCAAAATCTAAACGAGATAGGAATTGGACCAAAGTATACCTCTTTATGGACCCAACCCCGGCGGCATGAAAGGAAGCCTAAACTCGAATTGTTTATGAGGGCCACCAACTATTTCGGCATCTACAGAAACAAGAGATTAAACCGACGTCGCTTGAATTAAAAAATTAATCGATAAATCAGAATAATTAATTAAATAGAGCAGTGCCAGGGGCACTCGCCCGTTGCACTCTCCCAGTCCCACCTACACCTGTCCAACCGTTTTGCCACGTTTGCTCAAATTTTAAAGGGGAACCGGCAACATAGAATTAGGGGTTATTACGTTAAACTAAAACATTTAAATAAAATAAGGATTTTTTTTTCTCTTTATTTCCCCGTTCCTTTTTCCTTGTTACTTCTTCCTCGGCAAATCCATAAGTCAATCCCCTGAACTAACTCCAGAATCACTGTTAAGCCTCTAGACTTTAATTGATCCATATAAGCTCCTAAACTTTGTAATCGAAGCAATTTAACCCTTACTCTCACAGCCAACTCAACTGCAGTTAACTACTATTAATTACCATTAACTGCCATTAATTGCTATTTAGGGACTGCCTCACGGTGGCTAAATATGGCCGTCTCATCCTTACGTGGCAAGGGATTCGGCGTTTTGTTTGTGCACTTGGATGTAAAAATAAAAATAAAAATAATAATTTAAGAATAATTCTTTTATATTATTTTTTATATAATTTTACATGTCATTTAAATAATTAATTTTTTTTATTCATGAGTTTGTTTAATCCATATCTTAAGGACACAAATTAAAAATGTAATAAATATATTTTTTTGTAATAAATTTATTTTAAAAAATAAAAGTTAACTTTTAATTTTTTTAGTTATCTAAT